AGGAACGGCCCAGAGGACAGTTGTTCATTTCTGAGCAGACTTCGTTCTTTTTTGTTTGTTTTTCCTTGTGGATAGGAAAAGACTGCCTCCCCCTCCCCCATAATGCACCGGGCTCACGGACTGTACTGTCTGTGCCAGGAATACATGTGACTCTCTGGTGCCTTTAGCCAAGCTAAAGTGAGAACTTCAGAGTCAGCAGCTTCCAGACACACCGTTAAGAAAGTTCTCATTCTCCCGGCGCTCGTCAGTTGCAGAAAACTCTGCGCAATCCCTTCTCTCCAAGCAGGTTTTTTTGAGGGCTCTTTTCAAAGAGGCGGCCTGGCCTTGTGTCTTTTTTTTGTCAGCATTTGTTAATTCTGAGCTTTTCAGTAGCAAATGATTTTAGAAAAAAAAACCAACATAGAACTATGTAATAAATATTTTGAACACCATTACGATCTGGCTCTCCTGGAAGCTATACGGGTAGTATTTTGTTAAAAAAAATATAATTAAAATTACAGATCGCCTGTGACTTTCAAAACATTCTTCTCAAAAATACCCACTCAGTATTTCAATATCAAAGGGCACGCAAGTCAAGCTAAAGTATTTTTTATAAAGCTACTGGGATATGAAGTTCTTATTTTCCTTTCTTCTACCTTGGTACATACTTAACCGTGTGTGTTTATATTCACACTTTTCATTACAAGTACCTTCTTATAGAAGGATCTTTCTAAGTGATTTCTCTACTTTGGTAATAAAACGTTTTATGTCCGTTGAATTAAATGTGCATGTCTCCAAAACCGATGATGCCGCGTCAGTAGAGTTAATTATTTACAAACAATGGTGGATAAGATAAAGGCTGGCATAAAAAAAACCATAGCAACCCTTGGTTGTTAATAATGCATAACAACTGGACTCCCTCTAGCATTATATAAAATTACTTTCTGGCATAATATTAAAGTGCAAGGACCTTAAAGTTACCATCCATATATTAAAATGATGCTAGGGCACAAGTTCCTAATTTCACAGTTTTTGGACATTGATCTCACTTAAAAATCGGCCATCGTTGAATTCAAATTTATGGGAAGTCCGCCATTAAGACTTTGGCAAGAAGAAAGCAAACTCAAACAAAGCAAATTTAGGCACCAGGTCTGCTGCAGTTGTCTTCATTTTTATGGGATGTGTAGTGAATGTGGTCCAAAAAACACCAAGCTTAGAATTTGTTCAGCTGTGCCATGGATTTCAGCCAATGGAGTACAGGACTGGTTCACATGCACTGTTCGACCGAGAGGATTTCCTGAGCTGACGACAAAAGGCCCAGTGGCAACCGAACAAATGTGGTGGACGTCCTTCAACGCATTTTTTGTCAAAAGGAAAGAAAGGAAGTGTGAGACGACCTGGAACGTGCTGGTGAGAATGTGTCTGGGGAGAGAATGAGAAGTCACGGAGGCGTGCTGTAATTTTGCTCCCTTTGGAAAGCCGACCACAAGGGGATACAGGGTGGGGAGGTGCCGAAGAGGAGGGGGGGGGCACCGAAAGCCAAAAAAAAATATATACATATATATATAAAAAAAAATAGAACAAGGCACAGAATTTTCTGCAAATGGTTGAACTAAACTAAATCAAAGCCTTACCAGCTGTTTCTGAGGTGTCAAATGGTGAAGCTCACTACAGTGATTTCTTGGTAAAGTCCTTTCCCATAGTCCCACCCCCCCCCCCCCCCCCCGACCCCCCAAAAAAACCCTACTTCCAGACACGCTGTCTTCCACTCCACACCTTGAGATGCACAGGGTGCCCAGAAACCACCTGA